ATAAGAGCACAAAGCTTACATAACCTTCCAAAGTTCACAAAAATAGCGGGGCAAGGCGCCTACGAATTGCTTTCAAAGACTTTTTAATTTTTTCTTTTTTTTTTTTTACTTTTCAAATTTTAAGAACGCCAACTAAGACTAAAGTTTGGGGGTTAAAGAGACAACACTCTTATACAAACATAACCATGACTTTGAATAAATGTGATTTTTGGAAAATCACATAATACATGTCAGAATGCTACAATAGAAATGATTGAAATAGATATGAAATGTTACATCACATCGTTGGGGGGTTAATATTATACACAAACTAAAGATATTTTTACTTTTTATTAAGAGATTCAAATTTTAGGGTAAAATGTAAATAGTCTTTTTTTAAGGCCTGGACTTTCAAATGTGTTGAATTTTCATAAATATACATTTAATTCCGATTCCATTAAACAAATGTTATAGTGAAAGATAAAAGTGCAAAAATGCCCTTATTCTCTTTTTTCTACTTTGGATGCAAATTAACAATGGCAAATTAGCATAAATTTAGATTCTAGAATGATAGGTATCCCAATTTGCCTAAACTTTTATTACTAGGGATTTTATCAGAATTCTGATTTGCAGCCTTCTCCTAGTCTATTAGTAGTCTTCTTATAAACCACATCCTATCTCTGAATTTGACATTAATCAAAGGGCAGGATTCAGTCCACCTCTAAAAAATCCTAGATCCACCTAGGGGTAGACTGAACCATAAAAACCCCTTATTACTATTCCACGTCACTTCTTTTTTTTGGATAAATTACAAAGACCCCTTATACTATGGGGTCTGTGACAAAGACCCTTTGTACTTTGTTTTGCGACAAATACCTCCCCTGTACAATGACCGTGAGACAAAGACCTCATTTAGTTAACCTTCCGTCCAAAAAGACCGTTACAATATTTTTTATTCCCCATACTACCCTTGAATATGAGAATTGAAAATACTACAGCATCGGAATTGAACCCATTTAATCCTGACTACAACGAAACGGCGATTGGCTGCTCGTACAAGCAGGCAAATACTACAGCCAAACAGCGATTCTCTGTGGCTGAATCAAGCCAATTCTCATTTGAATCCCATTGATGCGGCAGCTAATTCTAATGCTTTCTTGGCAACGAGTTCAACGGGTTTGACTGAATTGGTGCAAATGGCATCGACCAATATGTTCAGCTCCTCTTCATTGGTCGATTATGGAGAATGCGTTCAGCCGCAGTGGCCATCAACGGGTGGGAACCTGTCTTTATCAACATCCTCGCGTGGATTAAAAGAGGAGAATGGAAACAAAGACCAGTTGGTAGAAAGCTTAGCGCCTTTGTATTCCAACAATAACCAAAACCAGCAAGTAAACCCAGCCCACATATCAGAGACTGCACTTTTACAGAAGGCGGCTCAAATGGGATGGATTAGGAGCAACCCCTCATTGCTCGGTAGCTTCGGAGTGGTGAGCTCATCTTCCTTAGATACAACAGGCTTCAATCCTCTCGCCCAGAACAGAAACGAGTTCCACCGGTTAACGAGGCAAGCTGCAAAGCAACCGGAGAACATAAACCAGCTGAAGAATCGATATCCACGGCAACCGCCACCACCGGGGTTGGTGATGGAATGATGGGTGGTGATGTAGCGCGATCTTCTGCAGAGGTGATCTGGCTTCCAGGTAGATGACGGACTAAGTTGATCTGTAGAGAAGGATCAGAGAATCCGGAGTTGCTAGCCCGATGAGGTCACTCCGATGCTTAAGTTAGTAGACTGTTGCGAGCTAAAAAGCTTTAGAGTATAGAGAGCTAGAGAGCAGAATAATCACGCGTACCTTAAACCTCCGGGGGTGGAGTCTTTATATAGTCAAGTCCTCGTGGGTTTCGTGGATTGGTTCTGGGATTCGTTGGAGTGGTTTTCGGGATCACCACGTAGTGGCATGTTGGTATCCCCAAGTTGATGTCTTTAAGTCCTGAACTGGGTTGAGTGCCAAAGTACCTTGGCATCGAGGTGTTCTTGTCACGATCTGGTACCGAGGCGATCTCATCTCGAGGTGGCCTCATCTCGAGGTCACTTTAGCTCGGGGTGGTTGGGTACCCAAGCTCGATCTGCTGCGGACTGATCATGATAAGCTGAGTTGTCATCTCTTGGTTAGGTCGTGTCCACGTGTCCCCTCCTTACTAGGTCAGGCCAAATCACCCTTCATCACTCTTCATCAGGTGGGTTGAATTTAAGCACATTAACGGGCACAATAAACAATCTCGACCGTCTAATGATCCCGCAGGGTGGAAAACAAAGCCAATCAGTTCCAGTTCCACAAAAGTTCCTCCCGACAGCAAATGAAGTGGAACACAGTCTTACGAGAGATTTCCTAGGCGTAGGAGGAGATGCCGGCAGGCCATTCTTACAGCAAGAGTTAGCGAAATTTGCTTCGATGGGTTCAGCCATGAACTTGAGCCAATACAGTAGCACCCACTGAACTGTTGCTCCATTACATTATTTTTACAAAAATCCTTGTTGTATGATACAATTACAAGCAGCGTAAGAGTAAGACAAACAGAACAGAAGTTGACTGTGGCGAGAACGCCTAAACTTTAAAGGCCTTGCATGTTACCGAGTCGGACCGGTCTGTTGAAGCTGCAAAGAGATCTCCACACAGCGACGACTGTGGCTGTGTCTGGAGAGAGAAGGAGTTGAGAATGACTGAATGTGAATCGCCAAAGACGGATGGGTGGGGGGCAGTTGTCGGTGCAGCAGGTGGAAGCAACTCGGCATTGCGGAGGGGGAGTCCTTGGAGTCATGCATGTTGTTGGTTAATCTATCAGGCCTGGCCCAAGCTTTCTTCCGATCATTTCTTGATTTGAAACTAAACAGCGTGGAAAACCACAAGATGCGTTGACTGCCGGTCAAAGTATATCGGCCGATGGTGTCAACTTGTTTTGAATCTTCGGAGTTCGGATCGATGCGTTTCTTTCCCTTTGACGTTTCTTCCAATTATCTCATCAGTTCTTCATCATTCGTAGTCTAAATACATTTTCTTTTTTCTTATTTTCATTTCTTCTCATCTGGACTACGTCTCTTCTAAACTCGAATATAATTGAGATTGAACGAAGTCAAAAAGGAGTAATGAGAGAGGACGGTCAGGGAGGGGAAAAGAAGAGGGAAAACAATAGGTTAAATAGGTTTTAAGAAAAAAAGGACAAAAAAAAGAAAATAGATAAAGAATAATTGCAAAGGTGGATACCCAAAAAGAATGGTCACTCTTGTATTCATCAATGGAGGGGACAACCAATAAATATACGATTACATAAAGACTAAAAATAGCAAGACTAAAATTAGCAACATCCTAATCAATGGAGGAGCAAATATTCTAACTTCCTAAAACTTTATAAGTACAATATCTTTCTAAATATGTACAATATCTCTATTACTCCCCCTCAAGTTAGAGCATGTAGGTCACGTATGCCCAACTTGCGAAGAAGAAAATCAAACTGACGTTGGCCAAGTGCCTTTGTCAAAATGTCTGTCAACTGATTGTAAGTTCACACATGAACAATTTCAATAGTCCGGGCTTGCACGGCATCACGAACAAAGTGACAATCAACCTCTATATGTTTGGTGCGCTCACGAAACACCGGATTAACTGCAATATAAATAGCGACACGACTATCACAATGCAATCTCATAGGTCTTGGATGTTCCATGCCAAGGTCACGTAGGACACTCTTCAACCACTTCAGTTCACACGTCACAGCAGCCAGGGACCTGTACTCTACTTCTGCAGATGAACGTGAGACGGTATGTTGCTTTTTGGTTTTCCAGGAAACAGGAAACCGTCCAAGCATCACAAAGTACACAGTCAAAAAGTGCCATGTCAAAGGACAACTAGCCCAACCGGAGTCACAATAAGCATATAGTCGGATATCACTATTGGCGCTCAAGATGATTCCCTGTCCTAGATTCCCTTTGAGGTGTCGGACCACCCGTAGAGCTGCATCCCAATGTTCTTGTTGTGGTTGTTGCATAAATTGAGCCAATATGTGCACATAATAACAAAGCTCAGGTCGTGTTATAGTAAGATAGATCAAACTTCCTACTAGACGTCGATATTTTTCTAGGTCATCAAGCAGCTTCCCGTCGGCCAGTGCGAGCCGATGATTTTGTTCCATGGGTAGATGAGCCGGTTTAGCTCCCAGCAATCCTGTTTCAGAAATAATATCTAGTGCATACTTTCATTGACAGAGATAGATGCCCTCATCTCCTCTAGCGACTTCAATGCGAAGAAAATACTTCAACAACCCAAGATCTTTCATGTGAAAGCACCGACTCAGATACTACTTGAATCGATGTATCATCTCCCCATTGTTTCCTCCCACAACAAGATCATCCACATATACCAAAACACAGAGTGTAGCTCCTTCCTTATGGTAAGTGAATAAAGAATAATCTGAGTGTGATTGAGTAAATCCATACATCTTGAAGGCCGTGCCCAATTTGGCAAACCAGTTTTTGGGTGCCTATCGTAATCTGTACAAAGATTTTCGCAAGCGACATACCTTTCTTGGATGTGTAGATGAAAAACCAGGCGGCAATCGCATGTACACCTCTTCTGCCAGGTCACCATGCAAAAAGGCATTATGCACATCCATCTGATGAAGCTCCCACTTTCGTGTTGCCACTACAGCCAAAAACAACCGAACAATCACCATCTTTGCTACTGGAGCGAAAGTCTCATTATAATCTATCCCAACCTTATGATTATTCCCTAAAATCACTAATCTAGCCTTGTGTCTTTCAATCGTTCCATCCAAGTTATACTTGGTCTTGTACACCCATTTGCACCCGATCGCTTGCTTCCCGGGAGGCAACGTTTTCAAGGGTCTAGGTGCCATTACGCTCAAGAGCTTCAGTCTCCTCCTTCATGGCTTGTCTCCAATGTGGCTCACGAATCACTTCTAAAAAATGTGGGATCTTTCCCTGTAGTTATAGATGCTAAGAATTATCTATGTCTCAAGGAAAAATTAGTACAAGTCACGTAGCGTGCAATAGGATAAGACACACCTGAGGAGTGGCACGATGTGGCATGATCAACGAGGGGGTCGTTGATGTGTTGCGCTGTGTGGCATACATAGTCCTTCAGCTTCTCAAGAGGACGTCTTTCCCTACATCCTCGACCAAGGTTTTCACCTTCACTGTTCCTTTCCAAGTTCACGTCGTTCCCTCTCCGTTCATTAAGAGCCTTACTACTCCCCCTTGCTTCCAGAGTCAAATCTTTTTCAGGAGTTGGTTCATCATTCGAAGTATTTGCACTATCCAGCTCATGAAAATGTACATCATCATTACAGACAGGTGGCTGCTCGACCACACCGGTGTTAAGAGATTCGGAGACAGCAACCTTATAAGGAAAAATATGTTCAGAGAATACAACATCATGGGATACGAAGAACTCATTTGTATCCAAATCATAGAGTCTCCATCCCTTCTTACCGAAAGGGTACCCAACAAAAACGCACCTTCGACTTCGAGAACCAAACTTATCTTTGTCACGCCCTTGATAATGAGCATGACATAAACACCAAAAAACACGAATATGTTTGTAAGTTGGTTCCTTCCCAAACAACAATTCATATGGACTCTTTCCATCAAGTAGGGGACTTGGAGAACGGTTAATCAGATATCCTGTAGTCAACATACTTTCACCCCAAAAACTTATAGGTAAATTTGCCTAAAAACGCAGAGCACACAATATCCAGAATATGGCGATGCTTGCGTTCCACCCTACCATTTTGCTGAGGTGTCCCAACACATGATGTTTGGTGAATGATGCCATGAGTATCACAATAATTGCTCAAGGCTACGAATTCTGACCCATTATCACTCCTTATCACTTGTACTTTACTGTCAAATTTGGTAATTACCATGGCACAAAATTTCACAATGTTAGCACTAAGTTCACTCCTTTCTACCATCAAATAAATCCACACTGCCCATGAGTAATCATCAACAACGGTCAAAAAGTATATAGCACCACATGAAGCAGGAGCACGATATGGTCCCCAAACATCGCAATGAATCAAGGAAAAAGGTGCAGAAGCTTTATTATTGCTTAAAGGAAACACATCACGGGTTTGTTTAGCTCTTAAACAAACATCACATAACTCATTGTGTGTTTCTTGACTAGCAATTTTATTTTTAATAGTAGGAAGTAAACTAACAACTCGTTTTGAGAGGTGTCACATTCGCCTGTGCCACAGTTCATATGAGTCCACCTTTGCCAATCTGCATGCACTAGTCCTTTCCATACAGTGCCAAAGATAGACCCCATCACGCTTCTCACCCACACCAATCATTGTCCTAGAAGAGGGGTCTTGCATTACACACATTTTGTCAGAAAATGTGACTGTACATTTTAATTCACCGATAAATTGAGACACAGATATCAAATTGCAATTCAAGTTGGGAACATATAAAACATGCTTTAAGATCAATAATTTCCCAAGTTGCACTTCTCCTTCTTGCAATGCCATCATATTCTTTCCGTCAGGAAGTCCAACGGCACAAGGAGAGATTTCACGCACATTCTTCAATAACTCCAAATTCCCGGTCATATTGTGAGAACATCCCAAATCTATCAACCACATTTTCTTACCCGTCAATTTCTCTGAAGCGGATTCCTTGTGTGAATTGATCATTGCCATTAGCGTTGCCCACTGTTCATCATTAAGCCCGGGAAAACCATCTTTATTGCTAGTCCGGATAGCAGCAACAGTGGTGCTGGCGCCGCAGCTTCCTGGTGTCTGGACAGCATTGGCAGCCGCTGTACCAGACCCTCCTCGACCCCTTCTTGTTCCTGTGCCTCGACCTTCTCTTCCCCCATGACCACCAGAACAACCTCCTTTGCCTGCATACCACCAATCTGGGTAGCCCACAAGTTGAAAGCATTCGAGCACCTCATGTCTAGTTTTTCCACAGTGAGAGCACATCTTCTCATCATTGTTCGGTACTTTGGCTCTATTTCCAGTTTGCACAGCAAATCCCACAGCCTCTCCTCGTTCTTCATGTGCTCGAGCCACCGTTTTGTGCCATTCTTCTTGCACAATTATTGCATGTATTCGGTTTAATGAAGGTAAAGGATCCGTACTCAGAATATTTGATCTAATAGTGCCATAAACTGCACTGACAAGACCCATGAGGAATTGATGAATTTTCTCCTTTTCCCGCTCCAACACCAGCTCGGTTGCCGCTCCACACTTGCATTCACCACATGTACATTGTGGGTTCGTCACATACCCAGCCAACTCCTCCCACATGGTCTTCATCTTCCCATAATATCCGGATACGATCATGCCCTCTTGTTTGCAATTGGCCAAGTCATTCTTTAATTGGTGAATCCGCAGATCATTCCCAATGGCAAACCGTTCCCGAAGATCCTCCCAAAGTTCCTTTGCTGTCTCCATATAGGAGATTGTAGATCGTAGCCCTGGTTCTATGGTATTGAATATCCATGCTACCAACATGGAATTCACATTATACCAATCTTCTAATTTGCTGGGATTGTCACCAGGTTTCGTCACAGTTCATTCAAGAAAAGCCAGTTTCTTCTTCGCCCAAAACGCGTTCTTCATGGCTTTGGCCCATTCGTCATAATTATTGCCTTTCAAGACGATCGGGGTCACGACCAAGCTGGGGTTGTCATGCGAACCGAGATAATAAGGGGATTTCGGATCAAGGGTTCATAGTTTAGCACCATGGCCAGCTGCTCCTTCTCCTTTGTTTTTGTCAGCCATGGTGTACGTATTGCTCTGGTACCATAAAAAATAATTGCAAAGGTCGATACCCAAAAAGAATGGTCACTCTTGTATTCATCAATGGAGGGGACAACCAATATATATACTATTACATCAAGACTAAAATTAGTAACATCCTAATCAATGGAGGGGTAAATGTTCTAACTTCCTAAAACTCTATAAGCACAATATCTTTCTAAATATGTATAGTATCTCTATTAATAGAAAAAATTTAGTAGGGTATTTTAGTAATTTAATGCATTTCATCATCTGATTTAACGATCAAAGGGGGTATTTGTCTCATAGTCATAATACAGGGGGTTTTTATCGCAAAACAAAGTACAGGAGGGCCTTTGTCACAGACCCCATAGTACTCATAGTACAGGAGGATCTTTGTAATTTACCCCTTTTTTTTTAAGTTTGAACATCTCTTGCATCACGAATGGGGAGGGTTGGACATATTTGTGAGTTAAGATTAGTCAATTTGGCTTTTGTCAAGTAGGGTGCACAAAATGACTCCGTACCGGTAATGAATCGGACTGAGTCGAACAGGTAAGGAAAAAATAAATAAAAGAAATTGTTATGAAAAAGGTAGAATGTAGAGTTGTGCGATCAGATATATCAAATCGGCCTCTTGGTCAGGAGACCGAATCTTCTCCTCATACATGGTATCTCATACCGACCTCACAAGCACATCTCATGGTGCATTGAGAACATTTCCTATACTTACATATGTTATTATTTACGGGAGATCTTTACAATGCATGGTGGGAATGTGGGATGTGCCTGTAAAATCATTATGAGGTGCCCTTTGTGAGGAGTAGGCGTCTCATAACGATCTTATAGGTGCATCCCATCGTGCATTGAGAAATGAAAACATCTCCCATATTTATATGTTATTATTTCACAATGCATGAGATAATGTGCTTATGAGATCGTTATGAGGCACCCTTTGTGAGGAATAGATTCCGAAAGACCGAATCTGCTCCTCACACATGGCGTCTCACACCAACATCACATGCACATTCCATGTGCATTGAAAACATCTTCCTTGTTATTTACGTGAAATATTTACAATGCACGGTGGCAAAGCAGATCCCAATCTCGTTCTGTAGGGCAAACCTATGCCACACCGTTATAACAGTCATATCTGCAGCCTTATATTGGGTATATCTCCCATCAAATAAAGCACACAAGTACGACATATTTTAAATGCAAGACACTAACGGCTGCTCAAACGGGCTTGCCACGATTAAAGCCGAACTTCCCAAAAGGTAGATATGATCAAGTGAACTCGTTTTATCCGACGGATATACAAGTTCGAACTTCGAAGGATATCGCCCTGGGAGGTCGGTGTGAGACGCCATGTGTGCGGAGCTCCCAATATATCCCAATTAGATACAAGGAACATGTTCCCAATGTACAGTGGATGTGCCTATGAGGCGCCTCCCGTTTCGTATTTAGATGGCAGCTGATCTGGAACGAGATCTGCTCGTCACACATAGGCGCCTTCGGTCTCAGACTCTCAGCCAATTATTCTGCCTTTTATATTTTTCATAAATGTCGAATATTAATTAGAAATTTAAGACATTTCTCCAAGTAAAGAGGGAGCCAGAGAGAGAGTGGTCTATAAATAGCTATTAAGAGTTAAGAGTCAGGACATGACATCTGCTGTAGGTAGAGAGGAAGAGTGGGATAAGTTTGTCAATGACGATGGAAGGAGACATCGATAATCTCCCGAAGAACGACGCCAACTACACAGCCCTAACCCCACTCTGGTTCCTGGAGAGAGCTGCTTTGGTTCATCCTCAGAGGAAATCGGTCATTCATGGATCGTTGCAGTACACGTGGCTTCAGACTTATCAGCGCTGTCGACGCATGGCCTCCGCTCTTTCCAAGCACTCAATCGGCCTTGGGAAGACTGTGAGCTTAATTCAACTGGCTTCTTGAATCTGCTCTTCTTTTACAGTTGTACATGACTTGATTCTATTATGTTGCAGTTATCTATCTGTAATTTTCTTATTTCTTTACTTTAATCCTTTGATGATTTTATCATTCTTATTTTTTCTAACTGGAGTCTATGAGAAAATCGAGAATTTAAATGGTTCTCTTTTGGCATGGATATTTGTTCGTTTTTTCATTATTCTTCAAATTCCATGTGGACTCCCGGGATGCTTTTCCATGTGTCACTGTATAGTGTATACTCGATTTTATTTCCCGCCTCCTCTTTCCCTGACTTTTACTTTCCTTGTATTGGATTAACTTTGGTCCAAATTAATCTAGATTATTTGAAGGATTTGAAGATTTGCTTTATTTGTTAACCGACCACTTTTTATGAATATGAAAGCTTTTGTTAAGTGTAACCTCATGGAGATCTACTACTAATTATTATGTCTTTCTACTAGAAGAATGGACTTCGCCGACTAAATTTACTGATTTTTAAACTATCCCTGTATTTCTGTTCATTTTTGGTCACAGATATGTAGAGTAAACAGATTTAGTCACTTGTAACAATTTACATTAATGAATTGCACATGAGGTAATATCATGCTCAATACCATGAGATGACAGAGCAGGTACTCATATTTGAAAAAGAGCAGCATGTGACCCAGTTAATTCTAATTTCTAAAGCCTCGATGCCAAACTGGCATCCTAGCCTTAAGGCCCTTAACCATACCGGATCTAACACACTTGAAGATCATATTCAAATGGCATTTCACTGTCAAATGGTCAAAACTGAAATTAATAACCAACTTAAAATTAAATCTGAATGCAGTTTCTTTGGCCCTGTATGAGACAATTCGATTCTTCTGATACTTTTAAATATTCTTTTCTTTTCTGAATCTTAAATCCTCGCTCGAGTTTATGTCTTTGAATTTATTCTGTGCTGATTTATTCTTCAAATTTTTAGATATTTCGATCAATTAATTATTTTTGGTCTGACCTGAAGCATCATCATCGTCCAAGCCATCCCAACTAATATGGGGTCGTCTATTGCCTGCTGAGTTATCATTTGTTTATTGTGTTATGCTTTCTCATTCATTTTTTATAGAGCCATCTTTCAGATTTATAAAGATCTCACATTTGATTTCCCTCCTCACCCTGATTCCGTCCCTGAACCGCGGTTTGCTAATTATAATTTTTTTTCAAGCCTAAAGTTATAATTGCAATAATCTATTTGAATCTTGAAGGGCATTTCATTAATCCTGTTTATTTAATGGTAAGTTGATCATTCATTTTGGGGTGGGGGTTGGGGGGACAAAGTTGCACAGCTTACTACGGATAAGCTGTATAATTGTTTGACTTATACTAATTTCAAACTGATTTAGCCTTGAATTTGCTCATCTCCTTTTGTGCTTGTAATTTAATTAGTCTTACTCTTACACTAGATGTGATTGATTTCTTCTTAAACATGCTACAAAAAAAAAAAAAGAGGTTTCTTCTTAAATAGAAAGCATGACTTTCATTTTGCCGAAACAGGAGTCATGTAGCCAATCCCATATAATTGGGACAAGGTTTAGATGATGATGGTGACTTAAATTTTGCTGAAATATTATAAAGATCAAACTTTGGAAATTGGGTGCATTTGGGACCAACTTTAAACTTCTTGGCTTATTTCTTGGGTAGTGTTTTTTTTTTCTATTTTATCATTTTAAACAGAAAAAAAAAAACAGGAAAGTTGCACATATACAATATGATACTTACATATGAAAATAAATCTAAAAATTACTTCATCTTAATCAATGTTAATAATATCTTCAAACTTTCAATTAACACCATTTTCTTAGACTTATAAGACACTGAAGATAGAAAGTTGGTCCTAAGGTCTTAAGGTGAAGATGAAAAACTGAATGTTAAAAAGTTCAAACTATGGAAATAAATGTTCCGACCCATATATTAGAGCTTCCAAATCTGCAATATTTAGTTACCCCATCTGTCTCTGATCATTTAAATGAAGAAGCTGATCTCCCTTACATAGAGGGAAGGAGGGGCTTCAAGCATATACCAGAAAAAAATGCCATACTTGGTTTCTTACATCCAGAGATAGCAATTATGTTTTTATACCTGTTATAATTTTAAAACTGTCCTACTATTCTTGACAGTATTGATAGCTGTTAATTTTCATCCTTTTTCTGTGTTCAAGTCAGTAAACCTTTATCTTTATTTATTTTTAAGGCCTGTTTGCTTCGGCTAATGTGAACATTTTTTATGTGTTTTTTCATGTTTAGATGGCTCTAGAATGCTTCTTTCAAACCCTTTATACTTTGGTTTTCTTTTTTTTTTTCATTTTTTCCCTCCATTAGTTCTAACATGGTTCATGTAACAATAGTAAACATAATTTTTCTTGTAAAGGCTAGATATAGGTTCTGGAAATCCTAGGCATGTCACGCTTACAAGGATTTTGGCTTAGAAATAAGGAATAAGTTTGTATTGGAAAATAATTTCTGACTTTTAATTGTTAAGATACTTTATCTAGACTTGAGCTCTATTTGCTTCTGCTACATTCACTGCCTTCACAAATTTCCTACCCTTTTGGCTTACACATTATAATCCTTTTCATCTCTCCTAAATGTGACATTGTTTGGTCCTCCCTCATACATGGTTAGTGTCATCTGGCAGACATGGATTCCGGGGTTAGTGATTGCAATCATAAGTCATTACTGGGAATTTAAATGAAATAAAATTCAGCTTATACACTTGCATTGCAATCACTCTCTTTGGCCTATAATGAGTTGTGTCTCAAGTTCACTGAAACGTAATTAGTTCTTGTTTAAATTTATGGCAATCATTAGTCCTCTATCTGAAACTATAATCTTTGCAGGTACACTATTTTACATCTTGTTTTTCTGGGAAAGATGCTTAAGCTATTTTATTGATAGGAAACATGATGGCATCTTAATTTGGCAAGTTGAATACAGCACTTGCTTTCAAGGTTATGAGAAAAGTTATGAAAGATTCAGTAATGCAGATGATGGATATTTACATTAGAAATAATGCCTCCAAAATTTTTTTCAGGCTTTGAGCCTATTGTCCTTTCATGCTTCTGTATAGAATTCTAGTTGATTGTTTATCACACCCTGTCTCATTTCTTCTTTCCTGGCAGGTAGCTGTAATTGCACCAAATATACCAGCCATTTATGAGGCTCATTTTGGAGTTCCAATGGCTGGGGCTGTGGTGAACTGTGTCAATATTCGCCTAAATGCACCAACTGTTGCTTTTCTTCTGGGGCATTCATCTGCTGCAGTTGTAATGGTGGACCAAGAGTATTTTACCTTAGCAGAGGAAGCCTTGAAGATAGTAGCAAGCAAGAGCAATGGTAACTTTAAGCCTCCACTTATGATTGTCATTGGTGATGAAAACTGCAATCCTAGGGCACTTAAATATGCTCTAGATAAAGGGGCCATTGAATATGAGAAGTTTCTGGAAACTGGTGATCCAGAATTTCCTTGGAAGCCACCAAAGGATGAGTGGCAGAGCATTGCTTTGGGTTATACTTCTGGGACAACATCCAGCCCAAAAGGGGTTGTATTGAGCCATCGAGGGGCATATGTGATGGCTCTGTCTGATTGTATTGTATGGGGGATGAATGAAGGAGCTATATACCTCTGGACTCTTCCCATGTTTCACTGCAATGGTTGGTGTTTCACTTGGGCACTTGCAGCTCTCTGTGGGACAAGCATCTGCCTTCGTCAGGTATGTTGATATACAATAAAGTCGTATTGTATGTATGCATTTTCTCCATGGCTCACCTCACTGTCATCTAGTAATAGGGGCAGCTTTTTGTGTCCAACCTAGAATCATAGCAGATGCACAGCACAGGTGCCTCATTTGTAGAACATTGAAAATGATGCTGGTTTAAGTAAACTAATTGTTGTAAACAAGGTTAGAGAAGAGAGAAAGAGAGTAAAAAACATTAGGGCTAACAAGACCACATATCTTTACCTCTCTCTAATGAGAGACTTCATATTAATACTAGAATTATTCAAATTACAAACAGACCCCCATCAGGTTGATTACATTTATGTCCTTGAAAAATATAGTGTTCTACCTAAAATACCCTCATTCCATACATACTACACTAAATTATCCAACACCCCCCAAACTGGCACTGGATAGTCTGCCTAGAAAGAAATGATTCAACCTTAGTAGCAATATGATCTGCTTATCTTCCAGGGCTTCCCTTGAAAAACGCAACTTGAAGATTCCAACATGGTGGCCACTAGTACCTTACATCACACTTATAGGTATCCAATCGTCTGACTACACTTGTGGCGGCACTTTAATCTCTTATTTCTCAAAATAAATCTACAATTAGTTAGATGGGGCACACACAGACACATTCAGGTTAGGTTGTGTTTTGCTAAGACTTGGCCTTAGCCCAACACTAAGAAGCTAAGTCGGTTTCATATTTTTCAAACTAGCCTTAATCCAACTTCTCTTTCTAAGGTTGGTTTTGGGCCATAGTTTTTAAGGTGCCAAGGTGAGGCTAGGCGACAGGGGGGGGGGGGCTTGTCGCCTAGTTGCCTAGGCGATGGATTTTTTTCAAGTAAAACAATATATCCTAGGGTAAATTCCCTAGGATCCATAACCATCTTTCCTTAATAATTATCCATAATTTTCATAAGAGAAGTATAAATTTCATGTTTGAAGTTTAGAAAATCAACATTTTATGAGAAGAAAAGGAACAAAGGAAAGAAAATTCAAAAAATATAGGGGCTGAAAGTTTTAAGTTCTTCCCTTGCTTAGGTTCTGAAATCTTTGAGGATTCAATCAAGGATCAAAACCTCGATATGCTACTCGCCGTATGGGGTGTATTGTACTGTATCTTTGTCCCCAATACACATGTTTACAGGTGTTTTCGGGAACCCATTTTTTAAAATAATATATATTTCAAAATGAAATTGAAAACCAAAGAAATAAAAAAATAGGGGGAGTATTGTTGTAAGTACTACCTCTGTTGATATACATGCGTATTGATACTTTCAACCATTGGTTCAATACAACAGTTGGCAATATTTGTGTTGATTAAACCCTAACAAATAAGAAAATAATAAAAATAAATTAGTACATAAACACATAAAATGAGTATTTTAGTTTAATAATTCCTATTTTATAATTATAATGTTTGAAAATTAAAAATATAAAAGTATTTTATAACATAGTGCACAAAACTACTTGGCGACTGGGTGAGGCAAGCCTCCAAGGGCGCCTTGTCGCCTAGACAACTATGTTTCAGGCTAACTGGGATCAACAAGGGACTTGTAGGATGCATTTGGTTCACCTCAACATTAAACCATTGACTTAAGAAAACATAGCAAACCACAAATAAAACCCAACCAAAGAATAGAAAATCATTCAAGAAATCCAGAGATAACAGAAACATTGAACCAAAATTGCAGTGGAATAAATAGATAGACATAAGAAAAAATTCACTTACAGATCTTAGGACATCATCATTGCCCTCAAAATCTTCAAAGTCTAATACCCTCTTGTCATAATAAGGTAAGAAAAGAGAAAAAAAAGAGAAGAAAGAAAACGATAGGTCTTAATAATTACAAATACATATAGCTCTCTATAGTGAGAGTTGAGAAAGATGCTTTGTAATGAAACTGGAATTGTCCATATTTTAAGAACGAACTCCAATGGGGCCTGGTATTACATCAAAGCCTCTGATTGTAACTTTTCTTCCTAAAGTACCACCATTCCTCATACATGGTATCAGCACATTAAATGGGAAGCTAGATTAGTGTCCTAGATCCAAAGAAATTGGGAGTTGTATCCTTGTTTTTAACACTCCTGTCCATGTTTGCATCCAAGTAAGGGTGAGCAAATGGGTAGGTTTTATTTGGTATCAAATGGGACCTTGAACAGGCCTTGAACCGACCTTACCCTATCTGTTATCAGGTAGCAGGGCTGCAAGTCAGGCCGGGTTAGGTCGGGTTGAGGCCAACCCTAGCCCAACCCTAAGTTCTAAACCCCAATCCTAACCCTAACCCAATCCAACCTTCAACCCGACCAACCCAACCCTAACCCTAACTAAATTCCTTCAACCCTAACCCAACCCAACTTTCTTCCCATCCCTTAAAACCTCATAGAATTTCTCGGTTTTAGATCTTAACTCAACTTTCACTACATATATTAATCCTATATTTCATTAGTATTTGTTTGTTGATGTTTTTTTTTTTTTTTTGGTTCTTTTGGTACAAAATTCAAAAAAAAAACAAGTGTTAGAAATGACTATAGTTTAGTCTTTTTGATTAGGATTAAGTGAAGTGATTATCTTAAAAGAAATACATGATACCATGTGGTGGGGGCTATACAAATATCATGCATCTAAACAAATCAATGTATATCATATATTATATATAACATATATTTATATATTACATGTACTATAGAGTCGGGTTCGGGTTGGCTAAGGGGTCAACCCTAAACCAACCCGAAGTAAAGTCTGGTTCATGAATTTCAACCCTAACCCTAACCTGAACATCAACCAACCCAACCCAACCCAACCCAACCCAACTTTTTCGGGTTGGGTTCGGGCCAACCCGGTCCAAGTTGCAGCCTTATCAGGTAGGTTCTGGTTCCAAGTTCTTGGAACCGACCCCCACTCAGGCTGGTTCCTAGGTCTAGGGGTTTACCCTACCCAAACCATCCTGGAGAACTAGCCTTGGTGGAACCAACCTTGGAACCGAACTTGCATTGAAATAAATCCCAAAATACTTTGAGGATGTGAAGATTTGAACCCAAGCACTCATGGTTACAAAGGCCATGGTCTCATTTGACCATTGAGTCACTTAAGTGATTTGATCTTTTTTTCTTTTTATTTTATATTTGGATGTGTATAATAAGTAATATAGAAGGTAATATTTACAAAATTTAAATTATCATGATAAGTTTTTTGAACCATATTAATATATTATGATAATCTACAATCTACATATTAAATTACTCAATTTAATCAATAAAGATAATATATGTTCTAAACTATATTATAATTATTATTGAAAATCAAGTTTTTACATAACATGTTCCATTTTTAGGAGGGGGTTAAAGCATGGTTTTCGAACTGCCGTTGACCTGGATGGTCGGACCGTTCGGCCCGGGAACCATCCAGGCAACCAGTTCTGTTTTACCCCAAACCCAGTCCCTGGCCAAAAATCGTTGAAAGAGTCAACAACCCGTTGACCTGGGCGGTCGAACCGTCGACCTATTCAACGGTTTTGGCCGTTTTTTGTTTTTAATTTTTGTCAGAATGGGCCGTTTGTTTGAACTGGACAGTCGGACCGTTGACCTGAGAATTGGTGGCCAGAACGGTTCCGTTTCCAGGTCGTTTTTTAAAATGATGGGTTAAAGAAAGAACAGATTCCACGGGTAGATCCTGGAACCAACCTTCAAGTAAGTGTTGGTTCCAAAACCTGAAACCGAACTGAACCTACTCATGCTCACCCCTACATCCAAGTATGTGCATCTCAGCTTAATGGTGCATTGTATCCAAGTATGGCATCTCAGGTTAATGATGCTTTGTTAACTAATGTCTAGTTGAAAATATGGTGATTTTTCTGATTTTCTATGTCCATCTGGGAGGTTCTAAACTTGTAATTCGAAAGCATGATGACTTGGTGAGTGGACATCTTGGATTGAGTAAACCTAAATGATACACATGTCTGTGGAGGTTTAAAAAGCCTTCAGCCTTCTCAGCCTCTTGCTTTTTTGATTTGTTTTTTTCCAAGTTTGTGCTCTAAGTTCTTGGCATTTTAATAGGTGACTGCCAAAGCTGTCTACTCAGCCATAGCCAACCAAGGAGTTACCCACTTCTGTGCTGCACCGGTGGTTCTCAACACCTTAGTCAATGCCCCTGAAAAGGAGACCATTCTCCCACTTCCCCGACTTGTCCATGTGATGACAGCGGGCGCAGCTCCACCTCCATCTGTGCTGTTTGCCATGTCCCAGCGCGGATTTCGTGTCACCCACACATATGGCCTCTCTGAGACCTATGGCCCATCCACCATATGTGCATGGAAGCCCGAATGGGACACCCTCCCCCCTGAAACACAAGCTCGCCTCAACGCCCGTCAGGGTGTCCGCTACGTTGGCCTAGAGGGCCTGGATGTTGTTGACCTAAAAACCATGGCACCTGTACCCGCTGATGGTACTAGCATTGGAGAAATTGTCATGCGTGGGAATGCCATAATGAAGGGCTACTTAAAGAACCCCAAGGCCAATGAAGAGGCTTTTCATGGCGGGTGGTACCATTCTGGGGATCTTGGTGTTAAGCACCCAGATGGCTACATCGAGATCAAAGACAGAGCCAAGGACATCATTATATCTGGAGGCGAAAACATCAGTAGCTTGGAGGTGGAGAGCGCTTTATACCACCATCCTGCAGTCCTGGAGGCGTCTGTGGTGGCCAGGCCAGACGAGAGGTGGGGGGAGTCGCCCTGTGCCTTCATAACACTAAAGCCGGGTTTTGATGATTCAGACCATCAGCGTTTGGCTGAGGATATAATGAAGTTCTGCAAGCAGAAACTTCCTGCTTATTGGGTTCCAAAGTCTGTAGTTTTTGGGCCTCTGCCCAAGACGGCCACTGGGAAGATACAGAAGCATCTGCTGAGAGCGAAAGCCAAGGAGATGGGCCCCGTCAAGAAGAGTAGACTGTGACCTCTGCATTCGCATTGCAACATCAGGAATTCAGGAGTGTATCAATGCTACTGGCTTAACAGCTGAAAGCCTGAAAGGATACAATGTTACATTGTAATAAGATAGTAGGGTACGATTCTAAGACGATATGGTTTAGGTTTTCACTGTATTTTTTATCACGTGGTTAAATCTTAGTTCGCATGCATATATAGTAAGTGGTGACAGAACTTTGTGCAAAGTTTCAACTTCTACTTACAGAGATGGTTATTTGTGGCTTAGACCAAATGGATAGTGTTAGAGAATAAAAACCTGTTCACGGACCTCGGACCTCATCTATCGGCTTAAGCTTTTATGTCAAATGGCTTTTCGATCAAATGGATCAATTGATCTGATCAAAATCAGAGCGTCATTCAAGGCTTATTACGAGATTCATAAGATCGAGGCAGAGCACTCACCAGAAATGGCGAAACGGATTGAATTTGGATTTTGTTATGTAATTCGTAACCGGATTGGGTTCAAATATAGGTTGACTCAATCGAATAAGAAACCATTTTAATGGAAGCGTACCGAAGCCCAAAACAGTAATTAACCCATAGGCTAAGAGCCCGATTAGCAGAGCTTCAGCTTTTGCTTTAGTTTCGTTGACCAAGTTGCTTTGAAAAAGTTTAGGAGCTTGTTAGATTCTAAGGTTGAAGCCGCACTGAGCCGCCATCTCCAGGCCTTTATAAATGGCTATAGCTTCCGCCTGTAGAGGAGATACATCTCTAGACGAACCAAATATAGCCGCTACACAGAAAGAACCGTCTCTGATCACCACTCCAAAACTAGCCTTATTTTAAGAAGTATTTACTTTACACCAGCCCAAGTCCTGAGGCAAGCATAAAACGAGTCCAGATGTGGGCGCTCCAGAACGTCCCACAACACATCCCCGCTGTGTATCGAGAACATCTCCCGATGATCAATACACAATGGGAATGTGCTGTGGGACGTTGTGGGGCGCAGATGTGAACTCGCACAAAACATAATCAATTGCTACACGTGCAAAAAACTTGCAAATGGGAAGTGATATTAAGATGGTTGGTTCATTCACTAATGGTGATCTTCCTTAGGCTTGAATTGGGACATAATGTTGAACTGATAAGAGTTGTTGATGGTACGTATCAAGGATTAGAGGAGTGATATTGATAGGGATGACTATGCTCCTCGGATGGGTTGGGTCAGATTTAAGGCCAGCCTAGACCCAACCCTAAGCTTGTACGTCAGACCCTGGCCCAGACACAACTCAGGTTGGAGTCGAGATAGAGCGGACTAGGCAGGTTTTGATGAACTGGAAGGGTTTTAAGGTCTTCTTGTTAATGTTCTGTACTTCTATCTCCCGTTCGGGTTTTATAGTCCAACTGAAAAAGCAGGAACTCCCATCTCCATATATTAGGGTGAAGGCATGCTAGGTAATTAAAGCAGGTTTAGGCTTTATCTAGAGAGTTTTTTCCCCTTTTGGCAAAAGATACTAATTTGAGCACATATGTGACCCCTATGCATCAAGTATCACAAGTAAACTGAATTGTATGAGTGTTGCACTGTGGAGAAGAGATGAGCTTTACATGTGTAGAATTGTCAATGGGTCAGGTCTGATTTAGAAGAGAATAGGGTGGATCAGTCCCAGACCAATTATTAATCAGTTCTATAAAATAGGCCCAGAATTAAATCAAATAGGGGTCATTCTACAACATGAATGTTTTTATTTTCATTTGTTTTTTAAATCACCACATCAGTCAAAAAACAAAAACATGTTCTTGAACTCTGTTTTTATTTTCAAAAGGAAAAATAAGTTGGTTTTATTACTAAAAACATTACATGTTTTTGAAATCAATAAAATAAAGGTTTTTAAAACAAAAACAAATTTTCTAACATAGAAATTATATGATTTATGGAATATGATGTTAAATAATCAGATGACAACATGTTTTTAAAACCAGATTCAAGAACATGTTTTTTGTGTTTTTGTTTTAAAAAACAATCTGTTTTCAACCCAGATGGTTTTGATTTGTTTTTGAAACCAGCAACAAGGAAAATGGTTCATGTTGTACAACGCCCTCTAATCAGGATAATCGCGTCTGATCCAATAAGACGCAATTATACTTGACATCTATAATTACCTCTAATATGACAATTTTGGAACTTCATTTTTGATAAATATAACCTTAGTAAAAAAATGACAATAAATTGCTTATATGTTGATAAAAGAAGTAGTTTTAACCAAAATTATCTCATATATTGTATATGAAATTTAATCCTTTTTATACATAAAATATAACAAAAATTGCAAAAAAAAACTTTATGTATATTATTATTTATTAATAATATAATTTATTCCAATTATAATCAATTTAGAACAGTAAAAACCAGTCTCAACCCAATTATAATTAGGGGCACAAAATTTGGAACCAAAGCCGATATAATCGGTTTAGAATTTGTTCATTTCCATCAAATAGATCCGATCCATTGACATCTGAAGTTGTGAACCCACCATACAATTGGCGTTTATTTTTTAAAGAAGAAATGCAAGAATAGAGTTCCAAACCAGTAGGAAACCCAAAGGATAAGGAGAATTAAAATGTTATATTGCTTACTTGACAAAGCAATCCACTTCTGCAAGCGACACTTGTGAGGATAGGGTTGTGATGATCGAATCCGATCATTTCTATAGTAAATTCTTTTCGGAGAACAATACTGCCAAAACAACTCTATCTATCATTGATCCATAGATATTGATCTCACTCATACTATATCCATCCCATTATTGAATCTTTTATTTTTATTGCTTTCACCATCTCTCTTACAAGACATCTTCAATTAATACACATACATATTCTACCCAATGCATTGAGTGATTCGTTCATTGCTGTTTGGCCTGAGTTAGTATTTTACATTATTTCAAGTTGGGATTTTCAAGATCAAACTAACCCCCAACAACGTTTTACAGAATATCCCCGCTGTGTATTGAGAACATCTCCTGATGATAATACCAGGGATGATGATGTCATCATTAGGAGATATTTCCAAAGCATGGCCTGGATATACTGTTGGATGTTGTGGGGGGCAGTCTTGTGAGGGACTGATTTGAACTCCGGACTTTCAGGTCAGATCCATTCAAGTTTTGATAAAAGCCCAATCCAAATCTGCCCAAACTGCATAGCCTCACTTGGTTAGGCAGCTTTCCACGCCACGCTTCATATCGATATTGATATCATACAAGTAGAAAGGGATTTTGTATTTTTTTTAACTCTGCATGCAATTACACAATACATACATGCATTTGCATTTTGGTTAAAAAAAAAAGAAAAGAAAGAAAGAGAAATTGAGAATGAAAGAAGAGGAAAAGCCAAGCTTAACTTAGAGAGTAGGCAGGGTTGGAATGACATGTTGCACTAAAAACCCTTATCCTATCCTTTGGTCCAGCACAAGGTCCCACTCCCACCAATGCCACGTCAGATAATCCAAACATGATTCCTTTTAGGCTATTTACACCAGTAATCCTGATCAAAGGGAAAGAAGATGTGGTTGCTTGGTTGGATTGTCAAGGTTGGTTTGTAATAAAAGCATCTACTTCTGCTCTGTCCAAATAAATTCTAAACATTTAACTTTTGCTCTCTGTACCTTTACAATAAAGTAATCATCTCTATTATCTTCTTGACTAGAATATATATTTCGTCTCATTATTATGAACCGCCCCATATAAAAGTCCACAGTCCATTCAATGCTTGTTGGATCCATAAAAGGGATGTCAACCCAAAATAGGATTTTGACATGCAAAGAAAGGAAAATTAAAGGGAAAATGAAAGTAAGAAAGAAAGACAACACTGTTGTATATTTTTTCAAAAAAAAAACTAAGCTTTTAACATTTATTTAAAAAAAGGGTCATTTACTAAAACCCCTTTATAATTTTATGGATTTATTAGAACTTACCCTATAGTATGTGATTTACTAAAACACCCCTATAGTTTTCAATCAATTTATTTAATTGATCTTCCCTTAAATGAAAGAGGGAAATGACAGTTTTAACCTTAATGTCTATTCAAATAAATTTAATTAAAAGAAAACAAAAATGAAAATATCATTTTTACCCCTAGTACTATTTTCAGATGGCAAAACAAGCAGTTTGATGAGGGCAGACTTGGCCCTTTACTGACCTAGACATGTGACATCCGTCTTTGTCGATTGATACTTCAATGCCATGCGGATAGATGTGTACCTCACCGAGTCAAGGGGACACACCCCAGAATCAGTCCAGGGCACCTCATACACAGCTTGGGCACCTCAACAGGGCGACTAGCAGCACCTCATCCAAGGCCGACCTGTAGTACCTTGTTGTTACCAATCTAAGGGACCTCGGTGTGAGGAGCGACCTCCTCGAGGACTTGTCGACCTATGGTACATCGTCATACCGGTTGAAGTGACCTCGACATGGAAAGCAACCTCCCCGATGACTTGCCAACCTGATTGAGGTCCAGGTGGTAACATGCGAGACGTGCTTGGCGACCTCTTCCTTAAGTAGGTTATTATTTTCAATTTCTACGGGATCACAACGCTTGACTGTTACGCATATCTTTCTGTATCATCCGCATCGAAGTTGATTGAACGGACTCTATCCCTCTCCTCCAAACATGGCAGACACGATTTCTTGGGAATCTCAAACCCATTACAAGAAATTCCTAGTTTCTTACGCCTATATAAAGGCATCTCCTCACTCAAAGAAGGTACGCACAATTCAGCTCTCAAATACTCTAGCTCTTTTGCTCTTTAACACTCTCCAAAATCTCTAGTTCGCTAACTTAAGCATCAGAGTGCCCACCCTAGGTAAAGCAACCCGGGCACTCTAACACTGTCATTTTGCAGGTTGACTCGACGAACTTGCCATCTCAGTATCCGAGTTGTCCTCCAACAGGGAGCTACTAGATTGCGCATCATCACAATTGTGAATGAAAGGTTGATTAAGTAAATATGTTGCAAATTATAAAAGTGTTTTAGTAAAATAAAAACTATAGGGTAGGTTTAAGTAGATCTGTGAAACTATAGGGGGTATTCTAGTAAATGACCCTAAAAATGTTCTCTGGATTTTTTTTAAGGAACGGAAGGGGGGAAAAGCCAAAGATATAATGAGTCAGATTTTGGATGTTTGTTATTCAAGACCAATCATGATGTAACCCTGGATCTCCTGCCTACAAGAATTCTGCCTACATCTACCCACATAACACCACAGCCACACATGGGGAACATC